TATGTTTAAAGTTTATTTTAATTAAATAATTATTTATTAAATTATAATAAAAAATAAAAAAACAAAATTTTTGTCCCAAACTATATTATTAATTAATATAATAAAATAACTTATTTAGCTAATTTTTTTACTTATAATTATATTATTATAGATTATTTTATTGGAACTATAGAAAAAAAATCTATAATTCTATTTGAACTACTACCAAAATGATAAATTGTTCCTAAAGTTGTACTTAGAGTTCTAAATAAAAACTTTGGCAAGTAAGTTAGTTAGAGATTTAGCTTTAGCATCAAATATATAATATATAACCTACAATTATTTAATAAGGTACATATAAATAATCTAATAGAGGGTTAAAAAAAATATCCATAATATTGTATGGACTTTCATACAATAGCTAATAATATAGCTTATTTATTTAATAATTATTATATTTGAAAAATTAATATACAATATATTCTTTTAATTTAATAACTATGTATCTAGTTTGGCTATAAATAAAAAAAAAATCTTTCAATAATATTAAAAATTAATTACAATAAAAAATTATTAAAATATTTATATTTTTATATAAATATTAAGTTTCATTTTATATTGTAATTTTTAATTATAGATATACTGTATGTAGATAATATTATTTTAATTTCAAATTAATATAAAATAGATTTATTATATTTTTTATATTGGACAATAAAGTGACAATTATAAAACAAACTTTAAAGCATTAATTAAGAAAATAGCTAGAATTTATGTTTTAAAACAAATTTACAAATCAAATAATTGTAAACTTTGAAAAATTTTATAGCACAAATATGCTTTGTACTTAAATATAAACAAAAAAAAGGGATAAATCTTATGTTCATGTTTTCGCTAAGCAGAATTCTTGCGATTTTATTTAAAATGCCCAATTAATATCATATTATTCTATAATTATCTAAAATAATTCCAACAATCATTATAATCATGTGAAATTTTGAGCAGGTTCATCGTTTTCGCTAAAGTTTCCTTCGAAAAATGCTTATCCTTCAAGAATTCCTGTCCCCGATCAATCCTCAGCTCTTTTAAACTACGTCCGCATTTCGCGTAATTTAGTATGACTTCCAGAATTTGATCATTAGCCCCAACTTTGACATTAGAATCAATAGCCAATTTCATTCCTAACCTTTTTATATCAGCCTGACATTCTTTTAACATCGCTTCCAATCCACTTGGGGAAACAATAAAATCGATATCTAAATATTCTAAACTCGAAGACAAAGACCGCCCGACTTGCACTAACAAGCTGTCGGAGAAATCAACGGAATTTGATTCGGAATGTAATATCATGTGTTTTATGCCAAGACTTGATAATAAATAAAGGTCAGGGATTATTTCTGAACTAATGTTCATCATCAAGTATTCCATATTCACGCAATGAGTGCTTAAAAGTCGTATAACATTTGCATTAATGTTATCCGTAACCAGTGTATTAAGATTTTGTTTGGTCATTTCTATTATTTCAGATAATATTTCACTATTTCCACTGCTGTCTAGACAGGTTAACCTCGCAAGAAAAATTTTGATTTGCGGTTTGATCCTTTGTAGCAAGGCGTTATCTTTCTCTACGTATTTACAGTGAAACATACTCATGGATTCCAATCTTGTACATCTTGACAATTTAAGAAAGAATAGGTCGTCAATGGGCAATCTAGAAATTGCTAATGCTCTTAGAGAATTGAATTGACTCGAAAGAGCAGAAATTAAACTTGCCGATAAAGTCGAATCTAGACTTGAATCCTCAATCATCAGACGTTGTAAATTATTTTGTGACGCTATTAATGCTGGTAATCTTTTCCCTAACCTTGTGTCAACATGACAGCAATCGATGTTCATGAATTGAATATCATTCGAAAAATGGGTCAACACGGTTAACAGATTTGACAAATTATCTAATCCATCAGCCGTGGCTGTATAACAAGTTCCGTGAATGTGTAGTTCACGTAAACCTGACAGTGCTTTGCGTACGCTATGCAAGGATGCCAAGTCAGGAATGTTGTAGTGTTCTTCCCAGTCACCAACTTCAAGACCATATAAACCATCACTATGGTTGATTATAAGTTTGCAAATCAGCGACAACATCGATGAAATTTGAAATGCATCTTCGGGTTCCAAAGGTCCGTCAATCGTGAGATATGCATAAATTGATTCCTCGAGCCACGCACAATCGAGAAATTTCAAATATCTAGGATAATCGAACAACGGTTCCGGTGCATCAGGAAGATCAACCCCTTCATCCAGCAGGATGTTCCTATCTTGCTCAGAAAGACATGCTAAATATGTTTCTATTATTTTGGAATTTGGCATCGACCAATGCTCTCTCCAAATAATTGGAACCGCAGCTTTACACCAATCATGGTTAACCAATAAAAATGAATAAAATGAATGTTTATCATCCTCTATATATTTGAAAATTTCTTCAAGGCACTTAATTGATATATTAGACATAATAATGATAGAATGAAAGAATTCGAAAAACAAACTCGATTTTTATCATGATAATCATTCACGTGATCAAACAAACATATGATATGGCAGGTTATAGCACGTGACCAGATTTCTAAATACTGTATATAAGACAAAATTCAAAAAGTGTTGTATTTTAAAATATATATTATATTATTTAATAGTTTAACATTTTATTTTAAAAATAATAATAATAGCTTTTAAATATTTGAAATAATTATATATAGTTTAAAGTTATTATATAAAAATAAGAATATTTTTTTTTAATATGGTAGTAACAACCTGTTGGCAATGATGCAGTGGATTAGGAGGGTCTTCACCTAAAGGCACTGCGGAGCGAAATATTGTTCCCAAGGCCAAACTTAGAGGCTTTTATGCTTACGACGAGTTAGTTGGATTAGAATAATAGTTTAGCTATAGTATGTATTATGCTGCTCGAATGAAAATGTACTTTTGTCTTCATTTGATTAATAAACTGACGATCTAGCCTGGCTACGGGTACTCAAAAAAATATATATATATATATTTTTTTTTTAATTTTTTAATTATATTCAAAAAAAATGTTTATCAAAATTTTTGACTTTTTGATTAATAAAATCTTAGTATTATTCTTAAAATAATTTGAAAATTGTTTTCAAAAATTGCTTTTACAAGTATAAAGACCTGAACTATGCTTCAGGTTTAATTATTTAAGTTTTTATTTTTAAAAAAATTTTTTTTAAAATTATACTTAATTTTTATATTTTTATTTAAAAAAAACAATTTTTTATTTAAAATCAAAACTCTTTTCTAAAAATCTTCAAATAACTTATAATTTTTTTTTTAGGAAATTACCTCTCAAAAAAGACAACATCAAATATAAGAAACATATTTTTACAATAGCAACACAAAACCAAAAACAATTCAACATTAAACAAGAATGAACTCAACACTTTAAACTAATTGATTATTACAATCTTTTATTCCTATCAATTGTTTTATTTTCTCAACTTATAGGAAAGGAAACAAATAAATAGTAACTGATTCATAGTCAGAAAAATGACATCAATATCAATTTTATAAAGCTTGCAGTTAGATTAATATAGGTTAATACTTTTCTTGATACTATAAGGAATTTTAAAAAGAAATAGATTAATTTGATAAATCAAATAATCTCAAAATTTTCAAGACCCAAAAGAACATTAAAGCTTTTCAAGGTCTAAACAGCTTAATGTACAAACTTCTAATTTCTCGATATCAAAATATATTAATAAGTAGTACAAATATATATATATATACAAAGATCAACTTTTAAAATATGTTTAATTAAGATTCCCTACAGTAGTATAACAAAGTTATTATATTGATAAAATCAATAATTATAATAAAATAATACCAAGTGATCGATGTCAACAAGTTATCAAAATATTTCAAATACAGGAACAAATTAGTCAAAATAAGTAAACAATAAAGATATTAAATAATAAATAATAACATGAGTCCTATCTATATCAAAATAGAATTAGTAAGCTTAACAATAGTTATTGAAATAGCATTAAGAACAAAAATTAATCCACTTATATAATTACTCATAATGTAATATAACTATATAACAATAATATCAACCTATGTATATAAACTATTATGAATAAAACAAAACAAATACTTTATATAATAAATAAAAGAGAAAAAAATATTATTGATATACTAGATCAACTGATAAAGAAGTGTAATGAAACAGATTAGCTATGAACTATACAACAAATTATTCAATAAAAAGACACAACCCTTTACAATTATATAATAGCAACTGCTTCAGAAACATGTATCATATTGAAAAGTATCATAATCAAAATTCTAGGAATAGACAAAACAATATTCTACAAAGAGCAACTCTTATACAACATATTATCTATCTCTGACATAATAGAAAGAAAAAGAAGGAGAATCTACTTCAATCCTATATAGAATATAGATATTTGAATATAATAAAAAAAAAGTCATCAAGAATACAATTTATTTCAATGAAGATTATTACTAAGTTAGAAAATGAATTAATATTAAATAATGAAATAATGATAATGGATAGTTAAGAACAAAAAAAGAAAAAAGTGAAAACATTCAAAGGCAAAATTGAAGACCATAATATAAATAAGTATAGCTCCTATATAACAAGAAACAGGTAAGCAGCCTCATTGCCAAATCCCTACTTCATAAATAAAAAGGGTAAATACAAAGTAGGGGCAATGATAGTTAATATTTTAAGAAACAATGAAGAAGAAACCAATATATACTTGGGTAGTATACTGAAATTGCCATAAAACAAATACAACTTTCTTCAAAAAAATTTTATTAATGGAAATAAATAATTAAGTTTTCACTTGAAGAAAAAAAAAAGATCTTCTTAAGTGTTTAGAAAAAATAAATAGAAAAAAAGAAACCTTTTGTTTACAATAGTTCAAAAACAAAATTAACAATCAAATATAAAATATAGAGGTATTAGATAAGAAGATATTTAATCAATAAAAGAAAGGAAAACCTAATAGATATAGAACACAAAACTTCTTATTACTTTATAAAAGAATATCTAAAAAGATATAGAGAGGTTTGAAATATATATATTTATAAGGTTAAAACCAAAACAAGGGTCAAGACTTATATAAAGTGGTATAGTTACTGGAAAATAAATTTAAAATCTTATGGATGACCCTTCTAGGAACAGAAATTACTAGAGCTATCTTCTTCAAAGAAGAATTAATAGATAGAAATGTTAATATTATCTTAATAGAACAGAACCAAAGCTCTGCAAGACTACTAGGTACTAATAAGATTTACTCAAGTCTGATAGCCAGGATACTCAATGGTATAGAAACAAAGGAATGTTATATTTCAAGAAATCCCTTTATACTAAAAAAACAAAACTTTACAGTCATATGCTTTACAACTAAAGAAGTTCTTAACAAAGCCTATAAACAATATATTGTTTTGCAGGGGCTACATTTATCATATAGTGTAAAAAATACATTAGTGAAAAGTAAGAGGATCCCAGATACAAATAGAAAAAAAGACAAGACATAAAATAAAAAAATTAAAATAGATAATAAAATATCCATGAACTTACTATTTGACAACAAATCAATAAGCTCCTTTTTCTTATCTAATAAGAGTTATTGTTAGCAAAAAAGTTACTTCCAAGAGATCTACCTTCAAGAAGTCAAAGAAGATCTTACAGAATCTAAACTGGAAGTATAAAACAAAGAAATAATGAAATATACAAGGACTCAGCCACAGAAAGCAATAAAAAATCCATTGACAACCTAAAATATAGAAGGGAAAAATATGAAAGATTTATTATATCATATCTTAGTTAACTTAAAAAAACTAAGTGGCAAAATAGCCAGACTAGAAGATAGAACAACCATCAATAAATAAACAAGATATGATAGAATAGTGGCAAATAGCTTCTAAAAGGTATACCAGTTATTCAAAATAACAAGAGAAAAAATAACAGTTTATTTCTAGCAAAAATCTTAAAAAGAATAAACATCAACAAAAAAAGAAGCACAATAGTATACAATTAGATAATTTAGATCTAGAAATATTTTTACAAAATGAAAAAACTGACTTGAACAAAAAAGAAAAAAGTAAAGACAAACAAAATAATAATAGAGAAGAAGAAATTAACATGAAAAAAAGAGTAATAATAATAGATATACATAATATTAGAGGTATTATCCATAAAGTTAATCAACACAGTTTTATAGAAAAGATAAGTGAACAAAGTATAGGTATAATGGGACTGTATGAAATCAAGTTAATATATAATAATGCAAAATGAATTTTCTATAATCAGAAAGAATACAAATACTTTTACAGCACTAATAAAGATACTCCATAAGATATAGAGTGAGTCTACTAATAAAAAAAGATCTTGAAAAACAAGTGGTATTGATAAATGAAGCAAATAATTATATGATTACCATAAATTTATTAACAAGAAGAAATAAAATTTGTATTATACAGGTTTACATTCTATTAGATAGATATAGATACAAAAAAGTATAAAATAATTTAATAAGTTTTATTAGGGAAAAATATGGATATAGTTTTCACATAATCATAATGGGTAACTTTAATGTAGTATACAATCTATCAGAAAATAGAACATTCTTCTCTAGAGCATATTTTAATATCCAAAAATCTCTCTATTCAACTTTCTTGATTAATAAGGCCTTCTAGATATATAAGCAATATATGAAGGAAAAAACAAAATCTCTACAAGACAAGATATTATAAGTAATAGCAGAATAGATTTTATCTGGATGTTATAAAGTTTGGTGAAATATACAATTCTACAATTCTACAATCAAGATATGAAAAAGATTATTAAAAGCAATTACACTATATTGCTAGTAATATTATAAGATAATAATCTATTAATAAAACAAGACCATTAGATACTGTACATCAACAAAAACACAAAAAATCGATCTAAAAAGAATATAACCTGAACAATAACAAGCCTTTCAAAAAAGTCTGAACCATAAACTCAAAATCTTATTAAAGCTGATATTTAATGAGAAATCTAATAAAAGTGAAAGAAAATTGCAAGCTAATAAAATCTGAAAAATCTTTGAAGATTTAATTTATAGTATAGTCTTTAACAAATTAATAATCAAAAAGCAAGTCTCAAATAAGGAGAGGCAACATAAATATAGTTTAAAATTTATACAGTATAGAAAGACTCTTCAATTAAAAGCAGTTTTTAAGAAAGTAGAGATATCAAAAGAAATAGTAAAAGTGTAGGAACTCAGTGTAGCTATTGAGAAATATAATGCCATTTATAATTCACATTATCAAAT